CAGGATTGAGGTGGCTCTCTAACAACCATCCCGACTTGGAAGGTACATCGGCGAAGTATCCTGTGCCTCAAAGACTCCAACAAGAATTCCGGTGGGGGAAAGTGCTATTCGAAGCAATGCGTTGCACTTTATAGTAGGTTTGATAGCTAAGAACAGTGGACTATATGTTGGTATCAGAAGCCGGCCGGTGAATTAAGTACATGTCCTAGGCTACTACTAAATCTGAGTGTGACCAGTCTCATCTCCTGGCAACTTGTATCATCAATGTAGAGATTGAAGCTTCAATATGGCTTGAATGAACAATGCTTCCCGCTTGGGCCTCGAAGTTGACTTCAGTACCACCCAAGTATGGCGGTAGTCACACTATATATGGTAGACGTCTAGCTACTGGAAATGTGACTGCATGTCACAGAACCACGCCACAGAGACCCCAACACCACAATCCGAACTCGCGACGCTCAAAGTCGACCTGGTCCTGCTCGGCAACGGTAACCGGGAGGATGTATCTCCGTACGTGCTCACGATTAAAATACAACGTGGTTTCTATCAGACTTCCAATCCTGATAACGGTGTCATCTTCAGTGGATAGGAGGACGACCCTTGCGGTGAATCTCCACCAGCTGGCATCAATTATCCCGCGGCCAGTCTCCGCTCCGGACCTTCTCTTCCCCTCACTCGTCCCGCATGTTCTGATCGCCTGGGTTAATGTAATGTTTCGGTCACAGGAGCATCGTTCTCGATCCTAAGAGCTCATCTTCCAAAAGGAACCATGATGATGGAAGTGATATCAGTTAATGTACGAAGCGCAAGATGATATCCTAACTCAGACGCGTGATTTATTGCGAGGCTCTATATACGCAAGCCGCAGCTTCGTGTCGGATTCGAGAGACCCTTCAGCTCATCATGCCCGAGTCGCATCCATCTGGTAACGGTTCTGCAACGTCCGCATTCACCATATTGGATGAACCTATTGATTATGCACGTCCTCTGAGAGTAATCATCGGTGAGTCGCGTCGACCGTCTGTCATGGAGAGAAGCTAACTCCCACTATCTGACACTTCGATAGTGGGTACTGGATTCGGAGGTCTGGCAGCAGCGTATCACGTCAAGAAACACACAGAGAATGTAGAGTTTGTATTATACGAGAAGAACGAAGATGTGGGTGGAACATGGTTAGGTCCACTGATACTCGTCCACAGATGCGGGCTCATTAATTAATCCTTAGGTACGAGAATCGTTATCCAGGAGTCGCCTGCGATGTGTCAGTCCAATTATCTATCCCTCTCAGAGGGAATACTTAATGAAACAAACTTTAGCCCCGCACATGTGTACCAATTTACCTTTGAGGAGAATGTAGGTCTTTGACCGTCGGCACAGGAGATGTATTCATTATGCTCTCGCTTAGACGCAATGGAGCAAATTCTACGCGGATGGCCCGGAGATTTTACAATACCTTCGGGACGTCGCGTCAAAAATTGGGGTGAAGAATCAAATCAAGGTCAGTCATCCTGGAAGCTCATCTCTGCCCTGCACGTTTCGATAATTGCTATGCTCATTTACAGTTTAAACACGAAGTGACGAAGGCGGAGTGGGACGAGTCTTCCGGCCAGTGGAGCGTCACTATCCGCGACCTAGAGAGCGACTCTACTCTTACCGACACCGCTCACGTGGTTATATCCGCGACTGGGTCTCTCAACAATCGCCGGGACCCAGAGATTGAGGGCAAGGAGAAGTTTAAGGGCAAGATGTGAGCCATTTCGTGGAACCGATCCTGTGGCTCTCGCCGACTTCTTTGCAGAGTTCACACTGCTTCATGGGATCTTGAACCTGCTGGCGAATCCTGGAAAGGCCGTCGCGTCGCAGTTATCGGATATGTAATTCTTTACCGCGCTTTATGTTTGATTCACGATCTTACACATGCTTCGCACCTAGGGCTCTGTAAGGATCAGAATACTATAACGATGCCTTTCCCTCACCACTCCACAGAGCGCTACCCAAGTCGTGCCGGCACTGCAGCCGTACGTCAGTACCATAGACAGCTATGTCCGTGGAAAGACCTGGATCTTTCAGCCGTTCATTCCTGTCGACCAGTACCCTGACGGCAAGACCGGGAACCGTATGTTGATTGAGATTGATCTATCTCCTCGGTGCACTGACAGTGGATCGTCTCAACAGACGTATTCTCTGAAGAGGAGCTGCGCGATTTCCTCACCAAAGACAAGTACAAGGAGTTCCGCTTCAATTTGGAGGACGCCTGCAATACATTCTACCCTCTGACGTTGGATGGAAGCGCTTTCCAGACTGAGGCTAGGGCAGGCCTTGAGCAGGCCATGAAAGCAAGATTAGCGTCGCGGCCTGATATTGCCGAGAATTTGATCGTGCGTGGTCTTCTCGGTCAATGCATATTCTCCTCTTGAAAGCAGGCACAGCCAGATTTCCCTGTCAGTTGCCGCAGGCTTACGCCTGGTCTAGGCTACCTCGAAGCCTTGGTGAGCGCATAGCGTATCCTACCGGATGCCGGATTCTAAACACCATTCTTTACAACCGCAGACGGCACCAAACGTGAGATAACTTCTATCCCGGAGCAGGCGCTGTGCATGACATGCTGCTTTGGTTATTACAGTCTCAGTTCATCCCTGCCGAGATCAAGCGTATGACTGAAGACGGCATCGAGACCGTGGACGGTACACACCGGTCATACGACGTCGTTATTGCGGCCACCGGTTTTGACACGTCTTTCAAGCCACGATTCCCCATTCTTGGCCAGGGGGGTGTAAACCTGCAGGATCTGTGGTCCGACTATCCTCAGACATATCTGGGTCTATGCCAAGACCGATTCCCCAACTGGTGCACATATCCTTAATGTCGCTTGGTGCTTACCTTTCTGATAACCAATCCAATCGTTAGGTTTCAAGTTGGGGGGCCTAATACCGGGATCGCCGTTGGACTCCTGATCCCCATGCTGGAGAAGGAAGCAGAATACGCTGCTGGTTGCATTCGGAAAATACAGTACCAGCGGATCAAGTCTATGGCGGTCAAGAAGCAGGCGGTGCAGGCATTCCAAACGTATGTCGACGCGTACTTCCCTAGAACAATCTTCACCAAAAATGTCTGTCTCCACTGTCTACGACGCGGAGCATGAGCTGACCCTGTTTTACAGTGCCCGAGCTGGTACAAGAATGGCAAACCTGACGGTAGGGTCATGGGTTTATGGCCTGGTGCGTCTCCACATTGTAGTACAATCTCAGGCTTGAACTAGTATCTAGGTTCAACGCTTCACCACCTTCGCGCTCTCGAGCAACCTCGGTACGAGGACTATGAATACACCTACATTGGCAGCGACCAGAGCGACGACCCGGGCAATCTTCTTCGGTGGCTGGGCAATGGGATAACAGTTGCTGAGGTCGAGGCAAAGCCGGGTACCAGAGCGTGGTACTATCCACGAGTATGAAAGGCTCTTCCCATTGTATTGGTGTACGATCTTGAGTGTACTTCGTACTACATTACTGAATTGTAGGGCCTTGGTGCTTCTGTTCCCTCAGAGGCGCGAGATAGTTTTTCTCAGTAAGCGAGGAGATTCGCATACGACGGCGTTTGTAACTCAAAATATTCGAAATATCATCAATGGTTCGATTCTGATATACACTGTCAGACTGTTGCCGAGATAAGATTGGTTATCGAGTGCTTTCCGATAGAGTAGCAGCGACGCATGTGTCGATCTAGCTGCGCCTGCTTGCGTTCTGGCAGTCACTCGGAAGGGGCTCTGTCGAAAAAGACATAACGTCGGGACCTTGGAGTCCTGCTCCAGAACCTTCCTGTTTGTATTTTGCAGCGTTCCTTGTCGCGCCGAACGGGCTTTTGTAGTAGAAAATATCCTACCACTCGAGCATCATCAGCTGTCAAACCGTAGAAAAACGTATTTCGACGTGAGGCGTACCGTGCGACTTGATAGATCTCTAACCAGACTGCATGGTCGTGCAAAAGCATGCGCTTGGTGACCAGATTTGCAATTTCGCCGCCCATGCCCTTGATACCGTAACATTTACGGAGTTTCCATTGGACCCGCAAGGCGGGAAGTAAGAATGGTGTAAAATGTTTCTGGTGGTGCCTGCTGACACCGTCGACAATACTGATGGTGGGTCCATGTTGTACTATCTAGGCTGATGTCCATGATCGCATGCTCAGGTCCGTATCTCTAGAATGGCATCTGTCAATCATCTGAGTATTCCCGAATAAATAGCTTACTCTCGTGGATATCGACGAGAGACGTTTCCACGTCTTTCTGTTATCAACGCAGCGATTGTGAGGCATGATGGGATTCGTCTCAGATCTGGCAGGCTGAATACGGTTTCATCATCTCATATGCAAGTCTAACAGTCTAAAGCGCCGTTAATTGTTGCTTTAAGCTTAAGCCGGGGTCGGGTTGGACAAGATGCTTAAGCTCGGATACCGTAGTAGTTCCTGGTGTGACGTGCTTCAGGTGGAAAGCGTGACGTGAGCTAGCTTCTTCAGTAATGAACATCACGACTTGATCCACAATCTTGTTACAGCCACTAAATCGCTCGCTATTTTCAAGCCCCATCACGCCAGGGACCGGTCCAGCAATCTGCCTTCTGATAATACTGATGCCATGGTTCTCCGACTTGCCTGTGTTCCATCGAAAAGGAGCGAAAATGCGGAACTTGATGGTGGGAAGGTCGAGACTAGTTGCAGTCCTACAAAATATGTAAGAGTTGAAGCGACATCCTCGGAAAATCAAATCGATCAACCCGATGACCAGATGAGAAGCGAGACTCAGAACGGTGCTTCTCTACATTTCTGACTGGGATACCTCGATGTGGTGGCAGATCGATCCTTGCTATTCAATCCGACCACTTGGAAAGGGTGTGTATGGGGGTTAGATCTGTGAATCTTGTGCTCCGTGTGGCAATCGCGTGTCGTAAGCGTATCTGTTCTCCAACGCATCCTTTTCTGAGAACTCACCATTCTGGCAAATTTTGCCGCTTTTGCGTACGACATGACTAGGCAAATCCGTAAGTTTTTGACGAATGATCACCTGCAACGTTTCCCCTCACATGGCGTGTCTAACTAGATGTTATTTGGATTAAGAAGAGAATGAACGACCACTCGGTCACGGTGGTATTATGCTCACGCCATCCTTGTGTCTCTCGCGAGGTGATATGATCTTTGTTCCGATTATTCCACGCGACTGCAGCCCCGGCATTCGTCCTCCGCGCCTATGAGACGTTAGCAAAGAGCGTTTTAGGACCGGAAGGGTTGTCCGTATGGACAGAGCAACCACAGGCTGCCAGAAATAAGGCAACCTGGAAGGTCTATGCATGCTCCGGTGAATCCAATATCGAATGGTGTCCGAAAAGTTTCTGATCAAAATGCGTGGGACGTCATGCTGCTAAATGGTTGCTCAGATATCCCTTCGCAATGGGACATGCCGGAGCACGTTCAATCTTGCTCTGCTTCTTTCCGCGGCACATTAACCTTCGATCAAATCTCCAATTTCTCATAAGAGGTAATGGTTGAGTGTTGCAGGCTCAAACTGTCCGACCCTAGTCGTGAGCGCGACACGGGCAAAGATGTCGACACTGGGGTGCATCCCGATTGCCATTGTACGTTGCGATTTGGTGTCTGCATGGACTAAGAACTTAATATCCTATTCAGGTCGGCATAGCCGCTGAACTTCCGTCGGGCGCAGACGCTGTCCACAATCTCGACTTCTCTTCGTTCTGCCAGTTCCTTTTCGACAAGGGAGAGTCCTATGAGAAGATCCCGAGCGATAGATTCAACATCGAATTGTGGGTGCCTGTGTACGATCCATCTGTATATTCTGACGCTTGCAATACAGCATTCGCGGAAATGCTTTGGGACACGTCGTACCCGACACTGGGTCATTCCTTAAGCACCTCAGCATGTTCGACTATTTCGAGTTCGGCATCACTGGTCGAGATGCGCGTCTCCTGCCCGTCAGCACCCGAAAGCTCATCGAGACGACCTTCCTGGCTCTTCTGGACTCTGGCATTGATTATAGGGGGAAAAATGTTGGTTGTTACATGTCCGGTGTGTCTCATGACATGTTCTCGGTCTCGGGTCACGTACGTGTTGTGCGCTTCGCCGTCCCTACAGTCTGATTCAACTCGTCGTCGGTTCAGGATGACGCCGAAGCCCGAGCTTCACTCGCGTACGCGCCATCAACAATAGCGAACAAAGTATCGTATCATTTGGACCTACGGGGACCCACGGTTCCGGTCGATACTGCATGCAGCTCGAGTTTATACGCTACTCATTTGGCCATCCAAGCGTTGCGGAACGAGGAATGCGAGGCTGCTGTTGTGGGAGGAAGTCAAATCAATCACCGGTGCGTTCAGCCTGATCAACGATCTTCCGAGCTTATCTTATCTATACCCATTAGATTTGCAGAGTGGCTTACGTACAGTCAAGTCACTGGCGTGCTATCTCCTGATGGCAAATGTAAACCGTTTGACGCATCAGCAAACGGGTCAGTCTTTGTAGCATTCATTACTCAAACGTCACTCAGCACATCTATACGTCCAATACAGATTTAGCCGAAGCGAAGGAGTTGTTTCGATCGTCCTGAAGCCCTTGGAAGCAGCCCTCCGGGACGGCGACAAAATCTATGGAAGCGTAAGTTCCTTCTCGCGACCTCAATTTCGTGTGCAGGTACTAAATCAGTTGTATTAGATACTTGGGACGGGAGTTAACTCATGTGGCGCTTTAGCACCTGTGAACGCGCCTGTCGCAGAAGCGCAGAGGGACGCGATGCATAGAGCGTTCCGCATGGCTGAACGCTCGCCGCGAGATGTGGATTTCATCGAATTACATGCCACAGGCACGTACAACGGTCCTATGTGTTGTAGCGGATAACTAACTTTCTTACAGGAACTAAGAAGGGAGATCCGACGGAAGCCAACTGGATCGGTGCCGAGTGCTCTAGAGACGATGAACTTCTCATAGGTAGTGTGAAAGGTAACATAGGGTACGGAATGTCTGAACGTTTACCAGGTCGTATACTGATGCTGTCGCAACAGTCACCTAGAAATCACGGCCTTCTTGGGCTCTCTCGCCAAAGTTTGCTGTATCTTCAAGACCGGGATGATTCCACCGAACGTGAACTTCCAGAAACCGAACAAAGGGATCAAGTGGGAGGAGTACCGTTTCCGAGTACCTACTGAAGCGGAACCATTAAAGTGCCGCTCCCCTTCGGGTCGCTCACTCGTAGCAATGACCAGCTCCGGCATCGGAGGTGCAAACGGGCATTGTGTCGTCGAGGGTCCACCAATGCATCAGAAGAAAGAGAACACGTTCTGGCGCGTTGAACCGAGTCTCGTCCCCGCTGTTCTGATCGCAGGGGGCCTTTCTCCACGTTCAGCGAAAGCTATCGGCGATAGTCTTCGAGATACCTACACCGACGCTGATCGCCATCACATATCTCGACTCTACGGCCGCCGGGCTCGGTCGATGCCTTGGCGGTCGTTCGCAATCGCGAAGGACGGCAAGGTGTCGCAATTCCAAGAACCCGTCCTGTCGCATCGCTCTTCTGTCCCTCTTGTATTCGTCTTTTCTGGCCAGGGACCTCAATATTTTGATAGTACGTGATTTACCTAATATTGTCCCGTTGCCATTATCTGAACGCTACTCAGTGGGTCGTGAATTATTCAAGACCAACGCCGTATTCCACTCGACAATTTTGGAGTTGGATCAGGTCTACGAGAAAGCTGTCGGACAGTCTCTTATCAAGGGTACGGGAATATTCTCAGAGGCCCCACAAGTGGACATTCTCGGAGAAGTCTGGTCCATTGCAATCACTCTTCCCGCGTTAGCCATGGTCCAGCTAGCGCTCTTCGACACGCTCGTAAGCCTGGGGATCAGGCCCGACGCAGTCATCGGTCATTCAGCGGGTGAGACGGCGATGATCTACGCTTCTGGTGCTGGGAGTAAAGCCTTAGCTCTCGAGTTGGCCATCGCCAGAGGGAGGGCGATGTCGGCTTTGGAGGATGCGGACGGTACCATGGCTGCCGTCAACTGCTCTGCAGATCAGGCGCGGGATATAATTGCCACGGTGATCGCAGAGGCAGGCTTCAGTCCGCTTGAGATCGGGTGTTACAACACACCTGAAGCCATCACGTTGTCCGGGAGGGCGTCGCACATAGATCTGGCAGTCCAGGTGGCGGAAGGGAGGGGTTTCTTCGCCCGACGTCTTCGAACGAAGATCCCAGTGCACTCTGCTATGATGGATCTCTGTCAGAGCGAATATCAGCGTCTGGTTCAAGATGTCTTCACGCGGTACACGGTCCGAGCACCCTCCATAGACGTCTACTCAGCAGAAAGTGGCCAGTCATTCACCAAAATCTTCGACGCTCAATACTTCTGGGATAACACGCGCGGTCCTGTACGTTTCGCGGAGGCGGTGAAAGCATTACAATCCAAGTATTCGACCGCCATCTTCGTGGAACTTGGTCCTCATCCTGTACTGAGCGGGTATGTATCGTCTATGGTCGGGAAAGATTCTCCAGTCCTCTGCCCACTGCGCAGGCCGAAGAACGGCCAGCCAGCCGTGGAGCTGCAGGGGCTTGTGGAATTTGTGGGCAGGCTCGTTGTTTCAGGCTATCATTCGGTCGACTTCGACGTCCTGTCTGCCTGCGACCAAGAAGGCCAGGTGACGCCGGCCCCATATCCGTTTGCTCGCAGAGACGTGCCGTACGTTGCCGCGACACCTGAAATCACAAGACAGCGACAGCATCGCAACGGTCCCCTCAATTACCCGCAACTACAGGTGAATGTGAATACCCACCCTGCTCTGGCCGAGCATGTCATCAAAGGCGAGCCTATCATGCCTGCCGCTGGCTACCTTGAGATGGTGCGTCATTAAGCCGCACATTTATTTGCTTGTGACTAACATGGAGTGACGCAGGCTCTTGAATTCGGCGCGAGAAAGCTTTGGAACGTCGAATTTATCTCCATAATTGCTCTCTCCTTTGAGAAGCCCACGCCCGTTCAAGTTAAGTTGGAAGGTCATAAATGGACTGTCAATAGTGCGGCTCCCGCAGAGGTGGCAAGAAAGTGGCCCCTACAGGTAAGATGTCTCTGAAAACCAGATCGAAGCGTTCCTTACGTCGTGGTTTAGTACGATCGTCTCCATGCGAAAGGCTATCTATCCATGGAGATTCCTGCTCTCAGCCCCACACCCATCGATTTGGAGCCCATCTTGGCGCGCCTAAACGCTATTGATATGAAAAGTGAGTATCGATCTGGTATGGTATCGCTCTGCCGACCTTCGCTCACCTCGTCCTTTTAGATTTCTACAATGGCTTCGCTAGTTTCGCCCAGTATGGACCAATGTATCAAAGAGTCACCGCCTGCTATAGGGGTCTGGACACGCAAGGACGTGAAGAAGTGCTCGTTGAAGTGCGTGGTAACGATGGAGATATCCCAGAGTAAGTAGCGTGTCAATGCGGGAGAATTGTGTGGCTGACCTCCCCGACAGTCTCGACGACTACCACCTTCACCCGGCTATCCTAGACGGGGCGCTGCATGTTATGGTACACCCCATTCTCACTTGTTGCTGGGATAGTGCTCGGTATTACCTTCCGGCGAAGGTGGGCGCATTTACCGTCCACGATGCGCTATTCAAGAAGCCATTCCCCAAAGTCGTTTTTGCGCATGGTACGATGTCGGCCTGGTCTCCCGGTCAGTAAACCTTTTCTCTTGTCAACCACAGCATTCTAACGGGCCCCCAGAGGCCATCACGTATAACTTCACGATAGTTCGTAAGGACGGCGTTCCCCTCTGCACGTTCGAGTCTTTCGAAGTAGCCCGACATGGCTACATTCCGGAGACCGTTGAAAGACGGTTCGAAGTCGTTGATGTATACACGGACCTGGTCCTCCCGCGCCAGATTGCTAATGGTCATGGCCTGCACGTCAACGGCATCAAAGAGAATGGACATACGCCTGAAGTTGAGGGTGCTACGGTCAATGGTAATGCGAATGCGAATGGTCACGCCAAGCCCCGAATAGACAGTGACATAAGCATCTGCTCCCGCCAGCACGAGAATACGGTCATCATCGAGTACAGAAGAGGAGTCGAGATGCACATACAGGAACTCCTGTCAAAAATGGACACTCTGGCGCCTGTCAGGCTGTGGTTGGAAGCCTCAGCGGGACTGGACGGTGACGCGCTGCTCGGGTTTTCCAGGTCTCTTCGCAAAGAATATGGTGCCTGGAGCGTACGGGCAGTTGTCTTTCCCGATTCATGGACCGAGGGGGACAAGGGGACCGCAATGAAGCATCTTCTGAGCTCAGGGTGCGAAGACGAGATCTATGTTCAAGAGGATGGCACTGTTACCGTTCCAAGAATAATGCCTTCCGCGCCCCCGGCTGCGAGTGCTCCTTTCCATCCTGAGTCACCATGGGTCTATGATGGTGTTCGTGTTAAGCAAGTGTCTGCTCCCAGGGTACCTCCCGACCATATCCAGATCAACATTACGGGCGTCTCTCAAGTAAGCAAAACTATATACTCCTTCCTCGGAACGACTGCAGGAGAGTCTCGGGAGGTCGTCGGAATAGCGGTTGGCCCGATATCGAATGTTGCTGTGGTACACTTGGGCAGCCTAGTCGATATCAAAGCTTCCTCGGGGGGTAATAACGTGCCAGCTTTTGCTCTAGCTGCAGCAGTCTTGGGTGTGGGGTTCAGCAACTTCATGCATCCAGACCGACTCAGGGATACCTCAGCCTTTGTGACGCATGCTGAGACAACGGTCGGCCGCAGTATTGCTGCGATTTACGAGACGCTTGGGCTCGAAGTTCTTTCATGTTCAGGTAGACCCACGGTCTCGGACCTCGAAGTCATAGCGGTTCGCCGTCCTACATTCATTCTCTCCGGGTGTGAGGACGCCTCTGATATACAGGTCTTCGACGATCATGTATCGTCGAAAGGAAAAGTATTCTTATGGTCGGATACCAAGCGCGGTGTTCCTGGTGCCCTTTCAAGTGATCCATGGAAAGTTGGTGATGCGATTAAACTTGCGCTGGCAAAGTATCCGCATGCGAAGGCCTCTTTCGTGGCACCGGTGAAGATGATCCAAGGAGGTCTACCCAATGAAGTTCCGTTAGATATCGCCATCCTGAGCCAGGACAAGACCTACCTTCTTGTCGGTGGGATTGGTAGTCTGGGGTTGGAGATTGCTCTATGGATGTACTCGGTAATGGTTCCCTTTTGGTCGTAATGCAAGACGTACTCAAACATATCTATAGCAAGGGGCGCGGAGCATTGTCATGACATCGCGGGGAGGACGTGCCAGTATCACGAAAAGGGGCTCAGCACTCTCGAAGCGAATTCTGAAGTATCTGGACGGCCTCCCGGACCTCGAGCTGCACGCTGTCGCTGCAGATGCTGTATCGCTGAAAGATATACGACGTGTAGTCAGTGCGATTGATAAACCTCTCGGTGGATGCATGATTCTCTCTGCGGCCTTGATCGACCGTACATTCCATGCGCAGACCGCCGAGACCTTCGAGACGCCGTTCCCCCCGAAAGTTGGAGCATTCCAAGTTTTGGAGCAGGCCATAGATATCGAGTCCCTCGATTTTCTAGTTACCGTTTCGTCTGTGTCGGCTATGTTCGGCAATGCTGGTCAAACGAACTATGCCAGGTAAGAACTTTGCTTGAAGGATCCTTGATCTGTTTCAACTCCTCCGTAGCGCGAATACTGCGCTTGCAGGGCTCACGAAGAAGTACAAGAACGCTTTCTGTATGGTCTGCCCTGCGATAATCGACAGCGCCATCGCTCTGAAAGGAGATGTTGATGATGTATACCGTCGTCGTCTGCGGCATCTCACTGATTGGGGTATGAGCGCGTCCGGTAGGCATCTTGCACAGATACATCCTCTCGAGGTGTTAACTCCAGCGCCCAGAATTATGTACGTACCTCGGGGACGGAATTAGGAAACTTCGCAATGGCGCCGTGTGGCAGTATGTCCCCAACTTCGACTGGCCTCGCGTCGCTGCAAATATGGGTATATCGCCCGTCTTCAAACATCTCCTCCCAGAGTCTAGTACTGTATCGGCTGACGAAGCACCGGGTACGTCTAACATGAAGGAGATCATTTGCAAAATTCTCGAGGTTGCGCCAAACGATCTGGCGCCGGATGTGCCCCTCACGGCATACGGGCTTGATTCGCTGTCCGCGACGTCTTTGTCGACTGCGCTGGCGCCTATAGTTGCCATCTCGCAGATTCAGCTCCTAGCGGATGTAACACTCCAGCAGCTAGAGGCGAGGGTCGAGGAAGCTGGATCCAGTAGTTCTGCTCAGGAGCAAGCAGACACCGCAGAGATCGGAGAGGTTGATGAACTGCTAGCTTTGGTGGAACGCTATGGCTCCGATTTCCCCAGTGTCCAGCCGAAGGTAGAAAAGGCGCCTGCGAGCCCCGGGCGGGTCGTCCTGATCACTGGTTCTCGTGGTAGCCTCGGTGCACACGCCCTTGCCCGCTTTGTACTGTCAGCTGAGGTCAGCAAAGTATATGCACTGCTCCGGAAGTCGGACGCTACAGATTCTCTAGCGGACCGCCAACGCTATGCCTTAGCCATGCGCGGCATTGATCCCTGTGTAGTCGACTCGGACAAGCTTGAGCTAATCGAAGGGCTCCTGACAGAGCCACTTCTCGGACTTCAAGAGGAAGCCTATGAGCAGGTACGTGTCAGTCCTTATAACACGTGCCACAGGTATCAACGTCCATGCTATGCAGATCCATAACACGGTCACCCACGTAGTCCATCTAGGTAAGGGTATTTCACGTCACATGAGGAAAGTCCGTCATTCATTCTGCCTCAGGTTGGAATATCAACCTTGCAACTCACCTGAAGGCATTCGAACCCGATGTCCGTGGTCTCCGCGCACTGATCGATTTTTCGGCAACCGCACGCAAGGGCAGGCAAGCCCGATTGGTTTACGCCAGCTCTGTGGGGATCTTCCGTCGTGAGTAGCAATGCGATGTCAAGATCCTGTCCATAACTGATTGCCGGTCAAGAACTGGAATATCTCTCCGACATATCTGCTCCTATTACAGAGTCGGCGCTACCCGACCCTAGGGTGTCCATCGGGCCTGGATATTCTGAGTCCAAGTGGGTCTCGGAGAGACTCTTGGACATTGCCATGGAGAAGATACCAGGCTTCAGCGCCACTACCATCCGTATCCATCAACTCACTGGGGGACTAAACGGCGCATGGAAGCCATCTGAATGGTTCCCTGCATTGGTCTCGGCCAGTATGACTCTTGGTTGTTTCCCAGATGGTCGGGACGTACGTGACTCTCTCTGCAACTCCTCACCGTCATCAATACTGACCTCACTTTGTTAGACTATATCCTGGATGCCTGTTGACATGGCTGCGGCTGCGATGGTAGACTTCCTTGACTGCAGGGATACCGTCTTACACCTCCGCCATCCCAAGCCTATACCATGGAGTGACATGGCGAACCCGCTGGCTAGAATCATAGACGCGCGAGTGGTCCCCTATGCGGAGTGGCTCGCGCGCCTGGAACACGAGTGGAAGGCCCAAGGCATCCGCCAGATCTCTCCGTTCTTGGAGCCGGCCATCCGTCTGATGGACGTGTACCGTTCGACGTGCCCCGATGACCACCCCGCGCGCCCCATCACCGAGAGCAACGGCCTGTTCCCTATGCTCTCGATCGACAAGGCGCTCAGAGCTTCGCCGACCTTGCAAGATCCTGACCTACCTACGATTCAAGAAAGTGACATCGCCGCATGGATCAGATACTGGAGGCATGTGCACGCCTTGCCGGGCAATTGAACTGTGTCGCAAGGCCACAGCCCTAGCGCAGACTATACTGATAGATTTCCACGATATTCAGGGAGGAATACGTACCATAGAGTTTTGTATCCTAAATTGTACATGTCGTAGCTTGTTGAGATAGATGTTACCCTTATTATCAGTCCTGTGGTTCGCCAAAGCTTAAGGCACGTCTGCAGGCGGCGTCCTTCCGCAAGGGTATAGTAGAGTGGATGTAAGATTTTACAACATCTCATTAAAGGAGCGACAGGAGCGGGCGAGCAACAACATGATTAAACAGATATGTGTACGAGATCGAGGAAAACGTAAAACAAGATGTCCGTAAGTCATCCGTAATAGTGTGATGTCCTAACCCAGTCGTAATTGGCGAAGCCGCCCGTGAAATCTGACAATAGATGCAGCAGGGGTCATAAATGCGGTCAAATTACCCCAAGAACGTTCCATCGCTTGCGAGATGGGCATTCATTCATCCATCCCTCTACAAGACCATGACAGCGCCGACAAGCGAGCCGATGACGCCCAAGCCGAGAGTCATCACCGCCTGCTCCCAGCCATAGCCCGCTGACAGGCGGGCCGCCGAGCTGTTGCTATTCGTCGCAGACGCGCCGCCCGACGCGGTCCTGCTGCCGCTCGCGCCCTGTGACAACGAAGAAGAGCGTGAGCCAACGGTTTGCGATGCACTCGACCCCGTGGCAGAAGAAGAAGAGGTGCTACCCACACTCGAACGCGCGCCTGACGAAGTTGCGGAGGCGCTGGTGGTCGACGCGGAGGAGATGATGCTGGACCCGGAGACGGCCAGGCCGTTGCCGATGGTGCTGTGCGACGTGCAGGAGGAGGTGGCAGGCGCGGGGTGCGCGGAGGGGGTGCTCGGCTGGCCTTGGTAGAAGGTGGACGTGCCGTACACACCCATCGGCTTTGAATTCGAAACAGGTTAGTGGGAAGGCGATGGCAATGCAGAAGGAGGCATACCTCGCCAGAGTCACCGGCGCACTGCTCAAAGGCACCCGGGCTGTAGTTGCCGGGCATGTTCCACATACAGCCCATCTCGTCGTAGATGTGCTGGCAGAGCGCGGGTGCGCCGGGTCCGTCCTTGCAGGCACGGAAGCAGAATTCGGTAGCGGACACAAAGTTCTACCGTGACGATATGTGTTAATGCCAAAGTCCTGCTAGCTCTGCGACGACTTACGGTCCACTCGTGCATTTGCGCCAGCTGTCCGAATGCGGAAGAGAATACGAGCCCGCCGATAGGGTTGCCATTGCCGTCCGCGCCATGCGGGTCGAGCTCACCGCCTGCGTCGCCGGCAGGGATGTTGATCTTCGTCAAGTCGCCGACGCCTGGTGGGCGAGGGATGGGCAGGAGATGAATCGGAAATCATGTGAAGTGCGTACCGGTGACTTGGACGTAATCGGGGGTCTGGACGAAATATACGCCCTGCATGGTGCCGTCTGGGATGATACGGGTGCCATAGCCAGCCTTCATTCACTGTCAATACTGAATCTAACGCCAGAAATCTAACTCCCGTACCTTCATACAATATGCAACCTCGATGCGCTATTGAAGAAACGCGACAATAATTAGTGTATGGAACCGGGTCGTCCCGCATCTCAGACATACCTCAGTGTTGCCGATGACAGATTGTGGTCCTGGTTCGGGAGGGCCGAAGATACAGAAATCGTCGATCGAGTTGACTGAGCGACTCATCAGCAATCAATGCCTGGAACTCGTATATTCGGGGGAAGCAGCAGCGAGTCCCGCCTTTATGCTTCGAACGCTCGGTCCCGCAATGCTTGCAGATCCCTTCGGGATTGACAGGGACGGTGATTCGCAACGACTCGAACCATCAAAGACGGTCGATCCTCTGGCCGGGCCGCTGCCTTCTCACTTGACGGACGGAAATCGGTTAACTCACTGTACGCGTTTTGGCAGAGGGAGGTCTGGTTGACTCCCGTTCCACACTGGTTGGTACCCGCTTGGCCCTGCTCCGTCTGCGGGGGGGCGTTACTGGGCAGGTATGTGGCGCTGTACGTCTGCGCGCTAGCGGACGCCGCCAGAAGGATTGAGAAAGCTGCGAGGCCCAACATTATTATGGGTATTCCGGAGGGACAGGGCAGACACTGGGACGGCGAGGAATGAGCAGGAAAAAAGCGACAGCCCGCAGGGTCGGGCGCATGTTCGCGAAGAGGCACTACTTATAGTTTCAGGCCTGCCGCCAGACGTTCTATTTCCACCCAGAGCGCACGGTCATGCGTCGCCGGCACTCCGATTAGTGGGAGTTTTGTATTTAGTAACACGCGCCAGCAATCAAAAGTCTCATAAGAATCGCATAGCCGCCCCCCTCGCATCTAGTTGTCTCTTTGCTGTGTTGAATGCATTCAGGAGGAAGAGAGGGGCTTCAGGGCGACCCCAGCAGTCGAACAGACCGATCCAGACAGCCAGAGAGTTCAGTCCAGTACGCCACGGAACCGGCGTCTGCCTCCGGCCTTCCCATGAAGTATCTTCCAGTAAGTACCCCGACAGACTGCGCACGCCAGCGAAGGCCAGGACGGATCAGCAGACGAGAATAGTGAGTGTTCAACGTTGCAGCGTCGAGGATGACGGTAGGTACAGTATGATGGCTGCTCTATTTCCGCAGACGTGGAATTTGCCAGCACGGGAATTTGTGATGCAACAACGAGCACAGTTGTGGCAAAAATAGAATATTCGTATACAAACACCATAATTACTAGTCTAGCACAAGACGTGAACAGGCTGTGGTACAAATGATAAAAGGCTAGAGACGGAAGAGACGGCGGATGGTATGGATCAAGGCATCGCACGGCGGCGAGAGTCAAGCAAGCTTAGACAGGAGGGCTGGCATGACCGAGACTGAAAGAGGCTGTCCAAGACTCTAGGTGAGTGTTTCAAAATGTCATGCTTCAGCCTCAAGGAACCCTTTCTTGAATGCTGCAAGCGCTGTCAATTGCAGCCACATCCAAAAGGCTCTGATTGGCGTCCGCGCTTACCTCCCGGGACTACAGCAGAGACATACATCACGCAAGTGATGGGGGTCAAATCGTCCTGTTCCTCTTCTTCCTGCACGGTCTTCTCCCAAGTCGTCGCGATCTTCTGCGCAAGGCTTTCAAGGGACGCATCTGCGGAATGACATCGTATACCGAGGCACGTCCCGAATTCGCGGAAGGCGAGGCGCATCCTGAGAGGTACGTCGAAGTAGCCGCTCTCACTAACGTCTCCTACAGCCATGAGCACTGGCGTCAACGGACGGCACCGAGGTGCAGACGACTCACGAAGATCCCCGAACGCGCTCTCCGTGATCCCCCTCGCCCACTCCTCTCCGGGCTCATCGACGCACCAATGACTCGTCCACAGCGTCATCCCCAAGTCCAGCGGATCACTACTCCCATACCCCCTCCACTTCGTCTCCAATATCTTCCTATAATCCTCAATCTCCCCCCGCAACACTGGCGTGCCCGCCGTCTTCTGCAGCAGCGAGTACACCACATACCCATCAATCGGGTCGAGGTTCCCCTCGCTGCGCACGAGCGGCTGTGCGAGGTCCACCGACATCTTCCAGAACATCCGCGGCCGCGCCGCCTCCCTGTTCACCACGAACTTCGGGTGCACCGCGCGCGCGAGCTGCACTGCCAGCTCGTTGTACCGGCGCTCGCCCGAGGCGACGCTCATCCGGTTCAGCGCGAACATCCACACTGTCAGGTAGTGGAAGTACTGGCCATCCCCGTCCGGGCCGCTCTCTTCGACCTTGCCGATCCGCAAGCCACCCTTGAGCGGCTCGGCGTCGGTCGCACCGGGGAGGCGCGCGCGGTCCTCGCGCGTGCGTCCGAGGATGTCGTGCACGGTCTCGATGAGCCGCGCGGCGAGGGTGAGGTAGGTTGCATCGGAGGTTATTTTTGAGAGGGTGAGCAGGTTGACGACGCCGAAGCCGTCCGTCCAGAGGTATCGCCCGCGGTGGCCTCCCACCGCAGGCGGCGGAATCCATGATTTCACCGCGGGTCCATCTGGGAAGGGCCCGTACACCTTCTGCATTGTCTTCAGGAGCGGCTGCACGTCAACCGCATGGGGTGCATTGCTCGCCATACTTCGCGTTGGAGACATCTGTTCAGACTGTCTGGGATAGTCCATCCACGCCCGGTAGGAATTGGCTTACCTGGTGGAAGCCGAGTGAGCTGTAGGAGTCAGAATACCCAACGAAGGCTCGGATGTCCCGGAGGCCCTAAGATTCCCTGTCAGGCGTAGGCTGAGCTCACTGACGGAATTTTGTCAACTGGCTCGGACTTGATCACTGTCTACTTGCTTACCTAGGAGGCCGGGGTAGGTTCAGCCGATATATCGTGAGCCAGTTTATGATCAAACCCCTATGTTTTCAAGAGGCTGTCAGGAATTGCTATTTGACATGAACAGTGGAAGTGGTCGATGGCTCGAATTGTCACTGTTCGCACACACATGATATACGAGCGAGTGAGGATTCGTCGCGAAAGCCACTAATGCATGACGTCAATCCCCCTTTTCTCGTGGAATTGGCCAAAGGCTGCAGTGTCATGGGACGCGTCGCCAGACTATTTCCTTTATTCCAGTGCAGAGCAGCACTCCGAAGGATGACACGGTACTTAGGCCAGCTGCGGTAGCCCAAAAGCAACCACTGAAATATGAAAGGCAAGAGGTGAGGCTGAACTTTCAGTACTCTGATCGGTACCGGAGGTGTCCATTGCCACATATCTCAGGCTGCCGCTCACCCACGAAGCGTCTAATCCAGACGGACCTCAAATTCAGGCTTCATCCTCTCGACGCTTGGTGAATGCTCGCATACGGCCATTACCTGAACTCAGGTACCTGCACGCCTAGTCCACTTCGAAACACTGCTGCCTTCCTGCCTTTCTCCGTTGATATCATCTACGCTGTGGCCCCCAGGATAATAACAAGCCGACTGGTTTCCTGACGGCCACGGTCTGACTCTGTTTTCTGACCCGTCGTGCGTCGTGATGATCATCCTGTCCAAGTTTCTATAACCGCCGAACCTTTTGATGTTCGCCCTCACTGAGTTCAACTATAGACCTCGATCGAGGTTCCCGTCTCGGTTCGTTGCTTATAACCAGTGTTGTTCAAGGACTGACCATAACTGCTGACCGTCGAGCGCTGTGGCCAGAGAACCTTCCTCAAGCCGCCGACCGTAGACTGACCGCGCCATGAAGACGTCAACTCGTGTACTTCTCGCGATCTACGCACTCTGCAATCTCAGCGGTACACTATCCGCACTCGTCAACACGACAATCGACGACACCTACGGCGACCCGCTCACCGGCGCACAGGTCAGCTACGCGCCCGAGAGTGCGTGGAACGCAGAAGGCCCTGGGACGACCTGCGCCGGGTGCACCGCGCACCCCGCGCAGGCGAGCATGTACGACTTGACCTGGCACGACGGGACGTTCTCCGTCACGCCCGGGTCCGACAACGACACCGGGTCGATCCTCTCGCTATCAGTGCCGTTCAACGGTACGTCCGACTTGTGATCCCGCTGAAACAATACCAGAGTAACCGACCCTCCCGCCGCGATGACAGGAAGCGTCCTATACGTCTTCTGCGCCCTGACGTTCACGTACGACCACCCCGCTGGCAACTCCGACATGCAGTTCTTCATCGACGGCGCGCGCGTCGGCGCGTTCGAGCTCGCACCGAACGGGAGCACCGCGTACACGTACCAGTACCCGGTCTACGTGAACGAGTCCATCCCTGTCGGCCAGCACGTCTTCTCGCTCGAGTCGGGGCACGCGGGGAACAAGTCGCTCGTTATCTTCGATTACCTCGTTTACTCGTGAGCGTCAGAGGTTATCTCAGCTGAGGTATGAGGGCGGTACTGAGTGAATAGTAGACATGAAGAGAACCTCAGTGAGGTTTCCACTTTAGCCCCGCTCAGCACAAGCCCTCAATCTCCTACCTCTCCTACCAGCCCTGCAGAGTCCCCCGCGGCGACCTCTGCTGGTTCTTGGTCGGCTGCTGCTCCCAAGATAAAGGCAGGCGCATTCACTGGAGGCGCACTACCAATATTGTTCCTGAGCGCAGGATGGACGATTTGGGAAGAATCACGGATGTACTGGTATACGTAGGGATGCTTTGAGAACAATATACATTATTCATATGCCCCATCCTATCTACATCCGTTACGTTCACTTACAGATCCAAAGCTCTGGAGATATAGATATAGTAGTAATGCATGGACCAGACTCGACGACGGAAATAAATGCTGCAAATCGAATAGAATGCGTATGGATGGATGGACCGATGATCTGTGCGTAGATTCTAATAGCGATGGAAGGGTGTAGTATAAACGCCAGAAGAAACGAGGAGAAAGGAACAACACACAGTTAACGACACTGCGCGCAACCGGGACCTGCAGACAATGCGACACCAAAAGCAAAACATGCCGCGTCAATACTCCAGCCATCCATTGCAAAACAAACAATCTCCTCCGGCGCGAGAAACAGACCGTCCGGGTTCTACGCGAGATAATATAAGGGTATCACAGCCCAGACGTACCCATGCAATATAATACCATATCCATATCCCACCCACGCCCCGGAGCACTCAGCTCCCTTCCGGCGCGCTATGCAACCGCATATTAAACCCCAGCCCGACCTCCCTCTCCCGATTCCGGTCGTGCTGCAGCTGGTCCTCGCTGTGGCCCTTCCTCGCGTCCCCCTCCGCGCCGCCAACCTGGTGGATCGGGTCCGAGTCCGCACGGTGCCCTTGCACGGGCCCCGGCGCCGGCCTCCGTGGGTGATCCTCGTTCATACTCGTCGTCCGATGCTTCATAGCCCCGCCCCCGTTCACGGGTCCCTCCTCCCCGCCCAGCCCCATCCCGCCCATCTTCTCCGCGAGCTCCCCCTCGTACTCCTGGTCTCCCCAGCTCGTCGCAACGCTGCTGCTTTCGGCCCGATCCCAGCTCGCGCTGGTCGTCACCCCGCTCTCGCCGCTCGCGCTCCTCTCCGTCTCCGGCCTCTCGATCCCCGCGCCCTCCCTCCCCCTCTCCTCCCCTCCGCCCACCTCGTTCCGCAGCCCGCTCGTACCCCCTACCCCTGCGCCCCAGAAATAGTCCACCTGCGCGCTCACCGGCGGGAAGTAACTCGCCGGCTCTCCACCCATCGCGTGCTGCCCGGTCTCCCCCTGCGAATTATGCACCGGCGCCCCCACAGCCGGGTTAATCGGCGCGCGACCCTGCGCCCAGAACACCGGCGTGCCAGGGCTCATCGTCAAGCCAGGGCTAAACATCGGCGGGCTCAGCATGTTCACATTCATATTCATCATGTACGCCGGCGGCGGGTGCGACACCTGCGACACCATCGGGCTCCCCGCGCCCTGCTGCGCGTACGCAAAGTTGAACGACGGCATGCTCGGCGTGATCGGCGGCAGCCCCGCGGGCGTCATCGCGACCATCCCGCCCGGCGTCATCACATGAGTCGCCTGCGGGCTCATGGGGTGGTGCATCGGGGACAAGTGGTGCGGGAGGGGCAGCGGGAGGGGCGGTGGCAGCGCAATCGGTCCCGGGTGGTGGTTCTTCATGGGCGAGGTCGGTGTGGCTGTGTTAGTGGAAGACGTCGAAGGATTAGAGGAAGAGAGTGACTGCGACGAAGGCGAGCCATCGCCGTGCTCGAATGGACTTCGTCGCGCGGATTCTTGCTGCATCGGCTGCTGCTGCTGCATGTACCCCGGGCTCACCATGTACATTCCAGGGTGCCCGAAAGGACTTGACGGCGCGGACGAGTTGATGAACTCGAACTGGTACCCAGGGGGCGGCATCGGTATCGCCGTCGGTCGGCCCAGTCCCTCCAGCGCTTGCTGGTTACTGTCATGTTCAGACAGCCCCGAGCGCAAGTCCAGCGCTGCGCCTAGCTCCTGCTCGGATATCTGCCGATGGAGTGGGGACGGGAAGTGTCCGCTGGCCAGGTGCTGGAACGAGGGATGTTGCGAAAGGGATGGAGGGTGCGGGGAGTGCGGGAGCGACAAGGGGGAGTGCACTTGCGAGTGAGGGAGGGGAGAATGAGGGAGGGAGGACGATGGTTGGTGCAAGAAAGGCAGAGGCGACGTCGGAACAAGCGGTTGCGCTGATGCAGCCGATTGCGAGTATCGGTCGTAGTGGACCTTTAATTGCCGCCCGTTGTATTCGTATCTGCGCAGGGTCAGTAAACCCGCGTATAGGGGAAACGCCTGAGCTTACCCGTTGAACATGTTCACGGCGCGCTCAGCATCTGCCTCTGTAGCAAAGCTGACCGTCCCGAAGCCTCTCGATCGGCCGTCAGGTCCGAGAGCGACGTCGGCTCGCAGAATAGTGCCGGCTTGGCGAAAGAGGTCTTTCAGGTCTTGCCATTGGCAGTGGAAGGGAAGCTGCGAGGGGTCAGAAGAAGGAAAGGAACTAGACTCTGCAACCACGTACGTTTCCGACAAAGAGACTCCGCGTACCTCCGCCGCTGCTCGAGGGGCGTTCCAAGAACGCATAATCGTCGATGGACGGGGCGCTGTATGGGTTGAGCATGTTACTGCTGGGCGTACCTGTACCTGTAGGGGGAGCTAGGGAATCCAGATCGACAGGGAGCCTGTCCAGCCTGACCTCCAGCACGCGTGTCTGCCAACTGTAGCCGTTGAACATGTCGATCGCCCGCCCCGCATCCTCGGCAGAGGCTAGCAGGACGGTGCCATAGCCCCTGCTCCGATTGTCGGGCCCGAGGGACACGTCTGCGCGGAGGACCGTGCCTGCTTTGCGGAAGAGATCCTTGAGGTCCTGCCAACGGACGCGGTAAGGCAGGTTGCCGACGAAGAGCTGCGTGCGGGTGTCCTTCTGGGGGACGGACGAAGACGAGGAGGTGGCTAGCTGGATGATGGCCTCGATGTCGTCGTTGCTGGGCAGCGTCGCCGGGGCCGGCGACGTAGCGCTGGGTACGGGGGACACGGAACGCGAAGGCGGGTGCGAGGTGTCCTAAGCCGTTATGAGCAGCGCTCGGAGACTGGGAATGCGGGGAACGCACCGGACGCAGAGAACCCATGTTGGGCTGGATGAACGAGCGACTCTGGCTAGCAATCGTGTATGTGCGTCGCGGACGAAAGTAAAAGGGGCCTGCCTCGGTACAGAAAAGAGGAGCCCTGACGTATCCTGAGAATGGCAATCCGTCCTGCGTAGCGGCACCCTGGCAATCCGTGACGAAGCGAGACGAACCGTGACTCCTACCCAGCGATTGTATCGGCGACCTACAGTGATTAACATCAACATGACTTGCTACTTTGCCCTACGTATCTACTACAACTCAGCCTTGACATGGTGATATACAGTGGTGAAAGCGACGAGCAGAGAGTTGGCCGAGTTGCACGGAGTTTTGCTTCGCTACCACTGCGCCACGCTATGAATCAGACTCGCGCGTTGACCTCGCAGTAACTATATACGACGTCATAGCCATCGGTCACTGAAATAGCGCGTTGAGCGCGTCGTTCACTTGCACTGCCAGACTGATTCGCCGCGGCTGCCTCATCCTTGTACGTCTGTCATTCGCCACCTCGTCCGTGGGCCGCACTGCAACAACAGCTTCGTCTGTATGCGGCTCGACTTACGGTGTCCTGTACGAGCGACGGAAGGCATACATGCATCTTCCGGAAGCTTCATTTCGGGAGAACACCGCAGCGCGACTAATCCGAGCAGCAGATGAGTCGGCGTCCACATGAGAGAGGGGAGCAAGGTACGTATGTACCATCTGAAGCTGACGTCGATATCAAGTCAGTAGACCATCGCGTGCTGGTTGGTCGTTACCTCATCAGTGGTGGGTGACCTACTACTTCTCAGGCGGCAATTGCATTTCGCAGTGTAGCGGCTCGCGTATACTTCCAGCTGACTACTCAGCCTTGGTACGAAACCCGTAGTCCACTACGTACATGTCCAGGATATCACCATCCTCTGTCGGAGATCCATCAGGAGTGCATGGATTAAAAAGAGAGCGCCCACTGAGTACGACACAATACACCTGACCGCGAATTACGCATACATAAAGACGGGATACAGAAAACCGAGTAGTCCATACAAGATACATCGTCTAAACCAAAAAACGCACCAGCCCGTTAAAGGTCCGCAATCCTACACCCCCCCTCCATCCACATCCATAATTACGCCGTACACCCCTCCGCGTCCTGCGTCCACTCACACAACTCGCGCTGGAAGCCCGCGCGCCTCGTCTGAACATTCCAACCAACCGTAAGCACCACATCCTAAGGCAAGAAATAGAGCGGGAGACACGCGTACCTTGCCCAGGAACGCCTTCAAAATCCCGCTCAAACCCGTAACCTCGCACCGCGCGCGGTCCCTATGGCTCCGATCCAGCGCGTGCGGGACCATCCCCATGTCCATAACCTCCTGCGCCCCGTGCAGCCCCGGCACCCCGGGCGTCACCGTATTCTACCACCATAATCAGCACCTCCCTCCCAAATTAAACACTCATCTCCATATCGGAAGAGACACTCACGCAATCATCCTCGCTGCGCATACTCTGCATCTGGCACAGCGTCTTCTCCTTGCACTCGCCCCTGCACGGCCGCCGGCGCACGCCCCCGTTCTTGCGGTGCTGGTACAGCCGGAAGAGCGTGTCGTTGCGCGCCATGAGCGCCGTGAGGTTGTGCCAGAACGCGGGCGAGAGCGGCGCGGAGGCGGGCAGGTCGACCAGGGGCCCGTAGGACTCGCGCGCGCTGTAGAAGAGGGACCATTTGGCTAGGACAGGGAGGTTAGGCGGGGGAGGGAGGGAAAGCAGGGAACGTACGTTGCTTGCGGAAGCCCGGCGCGGACATGTTGGCTTTAAAACGGATTCAGTATGGGGATGTACACCCATACAAAACGACACAGTAATACTGACTGAAGTACGACTTGGCGTCCATGACCTCGTACGTATCCGGGTCCACCTCATAGACCTTGAACGCGGGATTGCCGCCTATCACCAACGATATTCAGTCGCTTTCATGCATGAATATGCACAGAGAATATAGGCGTACTGCGCGGGGTGAGAGCGGGCGCGACGAGCCCGACGCTCACTGCGTTCTCCGCTGTCCGGTTCTTATAATCAGAGTAGGCGATCTGTAGCTCGTCCTGCAGTGGCCGCTTAGGGATTCCATATCATACCAAAACTATGGAACGACGTACAGAGTGCGTGTGCCCAAAGAACTGCCCCGCAATCGTATTCTTATACCTCTGCACAATCTGGTCGTAATAGTTCGACTGTCCCCCAATAAGCTTTTGACCAGCGCAATGAGAGAAGAACTAGTCCGATGCGCACCTGGTCCCACATGATATCGCCCTTCCCCACAGGCGAGTGTCCGATGATCCACACTCGCTGGCCGGCGTCTTCGGCTGCTTGGAGCTCCTGCACCATGAAGGCGAGGATGCCGTTCGGATCTGGTCTGTGGAGGAAGTCGGGATGAGACGAGATATGAGGGTGGTCAGGAGACACACTGCTGCTCGTCGCTGTCATAGAGCCAGAAGCTAGGGGTGTTCATGCGTCAGACGATCCAGAGCAAATCCGGGACGGCAAGGTCACGCACTTCTGTTTATACCAGTAGTTCGTGTTGATAGATATAATCCTGCCAAATCACCCAGTCTCAGCCTTGCTTTAGACATAAACATACAAGGCCAGACGCACTTCAACTTCGTCCCAGGGACAACCGTCGCATAGCTCCCCGACCTATGAACCAGCTGGTATGCCGAGGTCGAATTAATCCATTTCTAGGACACGTCAGAATCTCGCCATTGTGGATGAGATCGAAGCACGCATACCCTCCAGCCTTGGCTCTGGACGTCGAACACCCACTGCACGTTCGGCGCCTCGGTCGTGCTGCGGGGGAAGTTGTTCACGGGCGCAGAGTCACTTGAAGCAGTAGGGTCGCATGAGGACATAACCCGTCGTAGGTCCTACTGAAATTACTTACTGGTTGCCTAGAAGTTTCAAGTCAGTATCACAACACTGCGTCCTGCGAATGGGTACATACCGATTACGCCGAAGACCGGGAAGCCAAGTCGGGAGGCCATCTGGTGGTTGAACTCTTGCAGATCCTTCGTGACTTCGCTGCACAGACGTTCGCTCATTCAATGATGGACTACTCAGATATCTTGCAGACGTACTTCTGATCAAGCAACCATACGGCGGCTGTGTTGTGAAATTAGAAGGCGCAGGTAATCTAGTCAGCTAACCTCATACCTTCAGCAACATCGCCAGTGAAAAGGGAGAACATTGCGTCCGGGGCAGCCTCTTGCACTGCGCTCAGCATCGAGTCCGCGAGAGACGGCGGGGAGTCACAATTCCTCTCTCCATGGTGCCTAGCCTCGACCTTGATGTTGTGCCCTTTCTTCGACTCTTGATCGTCATAGTGTCTGCAGCAAATCGGTTTCGTGCAGTTCACTTCCGCACCGACCTGCTCTACGGTTCAGACAGCTCTGATTGCAATAGCGTATTGTACCCACTGTGTACTGCCTATCAATGTGCACGTCACTAAAATGCGCGACCTTGAATGGCGTTCTCCCGGTGGAAGTGAACGTCTGCGGTGTATCTGGGGCAGACTTCGGGAACTTGACTGGCAACTCGTTCACCGGGGGTGGTTGGCAGAGACCGAACACTGCATCGCACATCTTCGTCGCGGTTTCGCCTCCGACATCGATCTTCCGTAAGTCATGAGCGAGGATGGGAGCTTGGTCTTTGATTGCGCCTGCGCAGACATCCGGATCCTCGATCTAACGTAACAGTACCCACATTACAGCGGTCAAGCACGCACAATGCATAACCCTCTACTCACCTGAAAGACCGTGCATATGTTCGTAATCGCACTGACGAAGGTCTCGTCGCCCTTCCTGGCCAGGGTCTGGAGCGGAGCTAGCGCGGCATGGCAAGACTGGCAGTCCACCGCCTGCTGGATGGCCCGAATGATATCCAGAATGCCGTTCACGTCGACCTCGGGCGCGGCGCTCGCAGAGCCTGTGATCGCAGCAGTCGCCCAAGCAAGGGCGGCGAGTCTGACCATCGTCGCAGGTGCTTGGCCGCTAAGCGGAGAGATGAGCAATCCAACGCACGCAGCATCCGTGTGGAGATGGAAATTATTCTTGGTACTTTACCCAACACGGCTATGTATGGTTACAGAACAAACTCGCATGGATGACGGTACTGTCCGCAAGGACACTGGCACTAACTCTGATAATGTAGCATCGTCGACGTCGTGCACGGCGTCGGGCAGGTCATCGACGCTCTTGATCGAAGTTGAAGCTCTTGACGGCACAACTACTCTCTCACTTTACCCTTGACCTTAGGCCTGTGGCAGCAATTTTGGCACCCCCGGTCCGAGTTTCTTCCAACTTTCCCTTTGATATGAGCAATGCGCAAGACGGGATAGAACGTCCACCCGCCTCTGAAGGCATGGCATCGAAGCATCCCGTCCACTACTTCGATGATGGAAGCATCGTCCTCTGCCATGCACAGCGAAACGAAGCAAGCAGTCCTCCATAGCGTGCAGAAGACATTACTTTCTCTACACTCGGAAGTCTTTGCGGACATGCTGAGGCTGCCTGTCCCCCCAGAGGCCCAGATGTACGAAAGAGTACCATTGGATCAGCTCCCTGACACCGCAGAACAAGTGGAAACTATGTTGGATTGTCTTTACAAGCCCAAGTACATCATCTCCTGCGACGTGGTATTTCCGTACTGACATTTATCGTCCTAGCTCTTTGCATCAGGTGATGGATACCACGAAGTACGCGATTTCGGACATCCGGGAAGTCGCGGTGGACAAGTTGGAGACGCAGTGGCCTATTGCGTTGGAAGAATGGACTGCACTCGACAGGCATAAAGAACGCTTACACTCAGAGCGGCTCCACGCTTTGCATGGGACGTTGATGACCGTGACGATACTTAGTCAAATCCCGGAGGTTGCGTCGGCCATACGGCTCGCAAGGGATTTCGACGTGCCCTCTATCCTCCGGGCCACTTTCTATGAAGCGTCTCTGATCAATCCTGTCCACGACTGGGACACCTGGTAACGAAGCCCGTAATGCTGACCCTCTCAGGAAGGGATGTCGTTCTGCCCGGTGGCATCTGCTTGGTCACATAGACTTTAGGGCATCGGCTATTGTTCAGGAGGCCACTCAATACAAGGCTATTCAGAAGCTGTACGGGAGATCGAGGAAACTGACCTATCAGGATGCACGCAGGCAGAGGAATGCCGCACGCAAGCAGGGGAATGCCGCATCCATTGCGGATGGTACAGTGGCAGGTTCGATTGTGTTAGGAAAATCAGCATCCTAAGATTCCTCAGGGAAATAGAAGAGTACCGATATCTTCCGCAGGATGGCTGTGGACCTCACTTTCCGGGTGTATGCAAGAGCTGCTACCGAGAGATCTCTCTTATGGCAGAGGACCTGAGGGAGGACGTATGGGAGGCGCTGCGATGGAGTCGACTACGCACCTTTCGACATTGTCCTGCCCATGTTTCCCGAACGACCTATCACGTACCTCTGTAATTTCCTTAATGCTCAATTCATTCATCCATGCACGGTTGGACTGACGAAGTACTTGGTGAACCAGGATTGCATCCGTAGAAAATTTCGTTTGTCATAATAAGTGCATACCGCAAAATCAAGGGTGAATTGCGAGATGACTGAGCCTTGCGTTTGCCGGGCATAACTTCGTAGGCCGACTGTCAGTGTAGATGTCCCAGGGAGTTCTCTGCACTTTCGTCCTTACGAGTCAGTTCAATCCAGGCCATAATGACTTCACACCACATGTTTGCGCACTTCACGGTTCAGATGGGCAGTAGAAATACTACCCGTGTCATCAACTTTAACGCGTCTTGGCAGTCCGACCAACCAATGATACCCAGACAGGCGATATCCTATCCCCGGATCCGGATGATCACGACCATTGCCAAGTCGAAAGTTGCCAAAGTCTCCAGTGAGGTTAACGTTAATACCTGCAGGCTGCAGGCGTAGGCCAGGGATGCTGCAGCAGGACGCGAGTTAGTGGATTCAGAGGGGATGCAACGACCCTACGCTCCAGTGTGATTAACACATTTGGAGATGCTCGATAGCTTCATCGGTGTGCATTTGCTGCGGGTCGGCTTATGTAGAAGGTGAAATGTCTAATCTAGCCGTTCGCGGCAAGACCAGCGTGTCCGTCGTGGGCGGCCTCATGTATGTCGGAAGTCCCGTTAGCTCATCGGTTTGATGGCTTCTTGACCCCCATTCTCCCGAGTACGATACCCGACGGCCTGCTCTGAGTGTCTCTCGTTACTGACGATTTCTCAAAACGCACGATTCACGACACTGTACGATTACGACTTGGATTCGAAGGGAGGGAGGGTTACAGCGCGAGTGCGACGCGTCTATCATCGGAGAAGCATCGGATACCTGTAATTTGACGAACCGCCGGCAATGGTGAATACACTTCGCGGTGAGTGAAGGGACGTTCTGCTCGCAGCTATATTCATCAACGTTGTACGTCCGTTTGAAGTGGACCCGCCACCCGTGACGCCCAACTACACAAACGACCTGACCGTGAACCTACCCAATGGCCCCGGATCAGTTACACCAACCCGAACGGAGCCAAGTAATAAGCGGAAGCAAACTCTGCTGTCATTGCTGGATGCTCTGACTGAGTTGACGAAAGATGAAGATATTCATGAGCCAGGTACGGTCTCGTGACTGCGAAATACACGGACGCACTGCTAAACTCGATCTCAAGCAGAGGGGAAGCAGACCCCTACGTACGATGACAACAGGGATGTGCGTGAGTGGCGGAGCATATTCGGTGGCTGAAGCACGTTAATGAGGTATCCCTCGAGTAGCCAACGTGGACGAGGATCAGGTTGTAGGAGCAGAATCGTTCTATAAGTTCCAGAGGCGAGTACTAAACCTCGACAAAGAAGTGCGTGGCATCGTCAGTGGTGGGACACGGGGGGCTGATATCCTAGACAGCTCCGGAATTTCGCAAACTCTGCTCGACAACTCGGAAGCTCCGTGGGCATACTCTCGTCTTCCTTCCACCTACGAGAACGACTCGTCCAAATCCTCTTCCTCTTCCGAGAAAACGCCGCGGACCTCTTTCCTCGCAAAGTCACCCGCCAGTCGCGCGATGCGCTCGTCAACCCGAACTCGCGATACACGCGCAAGCGCGTGAAAAGAAAAGCGCCGCACCATATCGTGCGGCCGGCAGTCTTCGACAATCTCGATCCCGAGGACTTCCCGGCACAACTTGAGATGTTTGCAAAGGATGTCATGACATTCTTGAAGTGTCTCAATGAATTCCCGGAATTCCAGGATGAAGCTGTCAATGCCTCCATAAAGGCTTTGCACGGGGACCTGAAGGTGAGTTGCAGACTGGTTCAGCCTTCATGACTGCGTAATATTGACCTTGCATAGTACTGGGCATCGTGCCTGAAGGCATACGATGGTTGGTCTGGAAGCCTCTCAATTACGGTCAGTTTCACTGATTTTGTTTAGGCCAATTCAGGTATCCTGCGGTGCAACGGTACCTGCACGACTTGACTTCGGAAATGGGAGAACACCTCGAGTCCCTAACGTCAAATCTATGCTTATTTATTGAAGTCGGTCAGTGAAACCGGCCCTATGCTCGCTATGTAATGAATGGTCGTGAACGCGGTGCATATTAGGTGTACCAACTATTAGGTTTGCGCAGAAACACGCAGCCAGCAATCTGCTTAACCTCTCCACGGTCGGTGAGTACCTAGTGCTGTCCTACTAGAGCACCTCCGCTCATCGCCTTCAGCAACCTTTTTCTCCGCTGTTACTGCCACAACTCTCCAATACTCGTACGAAAGCACCGGAACTATTCTGGCAGATATGGTGAACGCCTTCTGGTTTACGTCGATGGTGTTCAGCATAGGGGCTGCGGTCAACAGTCTGCTTGGAGTGACATGGAAGCAGGCCATGTAGTACGTGTCACCTACTCCGCTACTTCTGTCCAGTTTACTTAGCACGCTACAACAAGCCGCTCCCCCGGAAATCGAGTTCCATGGTGGGTGCTCATATGGATCAAGCGATCACCTTTGGTGTTCCTGGTCATCTCTGTCGCATGCTTCTCGGTCGGCCTCGTGCTGTTTACTTACTCGACTCTCCAGGTGCGTTCCTTGACCGATATCCCCGTGCATTGTGTTCGATTATCCTCTGGACTTCTAGAACCGAGTTGTATGCACCATTACGACGGTCTTCACAGCCTTCAGCTCGTTCGGTCTTGCAGCAGTGTCAGCCTGGGTCGCGTCCGAGCGCTGGATCTTTGCGCGACACAAGGGTCAGAAATGGCTCGCGGATGTTCTCGACCATCTGTATGCCAAGATCGCCCATTACACGGGCATCAAATGGCTCAGGACCACTTCGCCTGTAGTAGCCCAAGCGGTCGTTGAGAAAACGAGGGAGCCGCTGCGCAGAGCCAGCACGTCCATATCGCGTATCAGATCCTGGACCTTGAGCGCGCTCAGTCTTGACGACGATAAGTCGGAGCCCGACACCGAGCAGACCATTCGTGTTGTCGTCAGCCCAGAACATCTATCTCCCAACCCTCCTATGTCTCCTTCAAAGCTCGTGCAGATTGCGGAGCACCGCGAGACGCATCCGTCCGAGTTCAAGCAACCGGCGAGCGAAAACGGACAACAGGTAGTTTCAGAAAAGGCTGAAGCTGGTCCATCCACTGTCAATCCGAAGCGACGTTTTGCAAACGCTGTACGGTCTGTCATGATGATGCAAACAGCTTCGTCGCCCATGTCATCGGCTTTTCGTGCACCAAGACGGGCACGGACGCTGTCTTCTTCAGAAGGCTCCGTCTCTCGCGGCAACCCGGGACCTTTCTCTGCTGTTCGTCGCGTGGCAGCATTAAGCCAAAGGCTGAAGAGCCTTGACGTCACCCAGGAACTTCAGCCTCACCATGCTCTTGTACGACATCTCCAGTTCTCTCCCGACGGCCGGTTTTTAGCTACTTCCAGGTATGCGCGTTCCTCACACCCGTGTCGGCTGTGCCTAACATCCATGCAGCTGGGATCGCACATCCATGATCTTTCGCGTAGAGGTAATACTAGCCTGTGTGCAATAATCCATGATTTACCAAGATGTGTTGTAGGAAGGTCTAGTGCACCATCGTACGCTTGCGCATCCTCAAGGTTTCGTCGGTCAAGCGGCTTGGTAAAAATTGCTGTTTTGTATGACACGCTCGCGGTCGCTGACGTGCTTCAGGTCTCCTACAGGTCATCTTCTTTTGACTAAGCTGAATCGCAGCGTCAAGATCTGGACGCAGGTATGGCTTAGTCTCAAGCCTCGATGGGCGTGTCACTCATGTGCTTCAAGGATGGTGTATGTAGGAAGACCATCGATCGCCACCGTGCTATTCATTCTGTCGCCTGGTTCCCCGGTGGAGAAGGTGACGAGCCTCTATGATCGCTTGATAAAATGCTCAAAAGCGGCTTGCAGCATTTATGTCGGTGGAGGGCAGCAGTGTCATCAAATTGGTGAGTAGTCACTCTGCATGCAGGGCACGTTATTAATCTGAGAGGTGCAGGATCTTGCTGGGAAAGTCAGTTATTCCTGCCCCATTATTATAATGTGCGGTAGCATAGACACTTAGTGTTTTCTAGATCCACGACAGCTATGACTTTGACCGTCTCAATCTGCACGACGTCTCGGTGACACCAGACTGCAAACGCTTATTAGGTGTTGGTACTTTAATCGAGTCGGCCGATGGGCTGAAGCCAAGTAAATCTCGAGCGGAGAAGCAGATCATTGGTGGGTGGCTTCTCATGCGGGATTCAGGTTTCGTCTCATCGCCAGCACTGCTGTCTAGTGTACAACCTAGAGCAAAAGGAAGTCGAAAAGTAAGTCTCGATCCAAAATGGCAAGAGGGCGTAGCTTACCTCCCCTCAGCCAAGTCCCAGTGCTGCACGACGTCCGCGATATCACGCTTGCGAAGAGCGGAAAACTGGCACTAGTTAGTTATGAGGACAAGGTGTGTCAGCTCGAGTCAATCTCTCCCTAAGCTCATTGCCTCGACGTTTCCAGGCACCTCCCCAACTATGGCGACTCGAGACGGTTAAGGCAAAGGACAAGGATGCAGATATAGTACGATTATCGCTACGACACACGTATATGCCCAAGATACCTGTCGACTTCGCCGGGCCCAGCTACTTCGGGGGCAAAGACGATCAACTGATATTCTGCGCTGGAAAAGGTGAAAGTCAACGTTTTCGCCTTTATCTCTGACTTACGTCCCGAACGTAGCTGGTGACATCCACATATGGGACCGCGACTCGGGGGAGCTTCTGCACTACCTTCGAGCCTCACAGGGCGCCGGCGGAGACTTGACAAGCATTGCATGGAACCAAGGATCGGATACATTTATGTTCGCTACCGGCAGCCACGACGGGTACCTGAAAATATGGACGCCTGCCGACTACACGTTGCGAGGTCGACAAGGCACACCTGGCCCAACTGGTAGCGGCACCGTCTCGCGTTCGGACTCTCCTTACGGGATACCTGTCGAGGTGTGGACAGATAGCCCTGCGCCTCTCCAGCAGGAATTCGACGCTCCGCGGACCAGTCATGACATCTTCCCTGAGTCTGAAGGCTCTCAAGACGGGTTTACTGCTGAGAGCTCGTTCAACGGGTCCACTATCCCTCTCATACGGAGTAGAGAGAAATCGGTGTCGTTTGCGAGGTATTCATGAAAATCAACGACGATTCGGATATAGAGGGACCTCAGTTGTCTTTATGTATATATGACCTGCACGATTGTAACGATACATTATAAATACAGTCGACTCTGTCTTAACCCATACCTGTCATAACCCATAACCTGTAATAACCCATAGGTTTTTGGCTTCCACCGACATGGTAGATAGTAAAAACCCATAAGTCTGCCGTATCCCATAACCCATAGCTTTTTGAAGGGTCATAACCCATAAAACAACCTATATTAGGAAGGTACAGGTCTCCTTCTCACGAGAATCTGGACCATCTGGACCCTTAATTTTTTGGTTCTCGTGGTATTTCAGAAGATAACCCATACCAGACTCAAGATTCCGTATCTAAACGGTGTCATAAACGACGTCCGGCCTATACCGGATAGGCTGTCTGTCACGCGTACTAGGTAGTCACACAATGTCACACGTTCTGGTAACCCATAGTCTGCAGAAACCCATAACTTTTGGGTTCCACGACCCGTTATGGGTTAAGACAGAGTCG